GTTCTGCCTCAGCAGGCTTCTGAGGTTAGCTGTGTGGCCCTGAGGGAATTGCTTCCCCTCTCTGGGCTTCTGCTTTCTCATCAGCAACATGAGGCTCTGGGGTAATGAGATCCACCACCCCCTCAGCTCTGACGTCCTGTGCTCAGTCTCAGAACATGTCTCTCCAGCTGTGAGTCAGCCCAGGACAGAGGAGGATCTGGGGGTTCTGTGTCTGTGAGGACCCCAGGCTCCAAGTTCCTGGAAGGTTGCCTGATGCTGTTGCTGCTACTGAAAACCTCTTTGGGGGAGTTTTTGAATCCCAAGCCCTCCCAACCCTGAAAGGCAGTGCGGGACTCTGAAAGGGAAGTGTAGGGAGGTTGATGGAAAGGAGGAAAGGAGACAAGAGGATGATGTAGAGCAGCGGTTCTCAAATTGTGGGTCTCGACCCCTTTGGGGGTCGAACGACCCTTTCACAGGGGTTGCCTAAGACCATCGGAAAACACATATATAATTACATATTGTTTTTGTGATTAATCACTATGCTTTAATTATGTTCAATTTGTAACAATGAAAATACATCCTGTATATCAGATATTTACATTACGGTTCATAACAGTAGCAAAATTACAGTTATGAAGTAGCAACGAAAATAATTTTATGGTTGGGGGTCACAACATGAGGAACTGTATTAAAGGGTCACGGCATTAGGAAGGTTGAGAACCACTGATGTAGAGGGTCCTAGGAACCCATCCATCATCCACTTCCCTTCCCCTCCCCTCTTCTTCTCCTGCCCACCCCCTTTTTTCTGTCTTGTGGCTGAAATTGGTCCTGGCTGCCTGGAAGAAGAGAGCCCCCTGATTGTTGATAAAGGAGAGAGGGATTTGTCGGAGGCAAGCCCAGTGGGAAGGACTTTCTTTTTCCTCTGGTTAAGTCTGGTTTCTCTTCACACTTTGAGTATAAGGGGACATGAATTAATTCCCCTGGTCATCCTGTCACTCATTTGTCAGCTTACTAAGCAGCTCATCACCTTATTAATCCATTTATTCCCCCCTCTACTTATCTCATGTTTGTTTATTTTTATAAAGAAGGAATATTTATTATAAGAATAGAGGACCAAGAACAAACCAACTAGAGCAGCTGAACTACTCAAAAAAACTGGAGTCAGCAACTGGTAAGAAATGGGAAACCATGTCAGCTGTGTGTCTTCTACCATCTGTTCCTGGGGCCACAGACTTACTCCTCTCTGCTTCTCTCTGCCCATCACTAGATCCTCCCATCTCTTCAATGTAGTAGTTTTTCTCTATTTCCACATCCATATCCCTTGTTTAAAGTACTACCTTTTCATTTTCCTTGAAAGCTGAAATGGCTCACTTATTTTTCTCACTAAATCCACCCTTGTGAATTTCTAATGTGTTGTTCCCTTTCTAGGCAAGAGAAATGTATCTATCTACACTAATAAAAGAGAAACATGGTAATTGGCGTACGACCGCTACCCTTTTCATTGGCTAATCAGTGAGTATATGCAAATTAACTGTCAGCCAAGATGGCGGCCGGCAGCCAGGCACTGAAGCGAGCACGAGGCTTGCTTGCTGCAGACTCCAACGTTCCCCGCCTCACTTGCCAGCCTCTCA